ACTCAGAGCTTAGCAATAGATTTACATCTCCCATCCTTGTAATCTCATATTCATCTACCGTTCGGGTAGTTTCAGTGTAATTGCTTAATTACAGAATATAAGTAAGTTCTTGAGTTGGATATTATTTCACTATTTTATATTTTACACACATTTCAACCCTACCCAATATCCCTACAATATCCAAGGCTTGTGTTGGGCTTTCGGATCTTCGGGAATAAACCTCAACAAAATCCGTGCCCAAGGCTAGCGGGACAGATAATAAAGAAGGGAGGGAGTATTGTATTAAGAAAATATTAAAACAAAGATGGGTACTACCAAATAAATAAAACCGAGTTAAACATAAAAATAAATGTTATTTTCTATGAATAACTTAAAGATGATGGACATAGAAGTACATTTTTATACAAAATGACTATTAATAATTCTTAATGACTATTAATATGTTCAATTTTACTGTATAGTGATTATGTTATGCATATATTAACTTAGTCACATTTTTATGCATTAGTTGTTTGAATAATATTTTAGGAGCAATGTTGGATCGATTCACCTCTGTCGACAAACTTCCCAGTGGGTCACCCATCCTTGAGCTTTCTTACCCCGGGCTCGCTTAACTCCAGAGTTCTGTGGTTAAATAGCAGCCATATCTTTCTTAAAACCAATTGGTGATAAGGAAGTGGACACCCTCTATTTAACCCATTACTCTGTAGTCCCCAAGTCAAGGTAGATTCCTGTGGGGCACCCCCCACAGTTCACTACGGCAGTGCAGAGCCCCACTACTGAGCGGCGGATGGACATGAGGGGCTGCACCACATCGTGGTGCCAACAGGTTGGGCGGTTAAGCCCTGAATCAAAGGGTGATGCTGATCTCCCATAAGACCAACAATCACCCCCTCAGCACCAGCCGAGAGATTCACCTGTGACCTCGCTCTGATACCACTTGTTGGATCGATTCACCTTTGTCGACAAACTTCCCAGTGGGTCACCCATCCTTGGGCTTTCTTACCCCGGGCTCGCTTAACTCCAGAGTTCTGTGGTTAAATAGCAGACATATCTTTCTTAAAACCAATTGGTGATAAGGAAGTGGACACCCTCTATTTAACCCATTACTCTGTAGTCCCCAAGTCAAGGTAGATTCCTGTGGGGCACCCCCCACAGTTCACTACGGCAGTGCAGAGCCCCACTACTGAGCGGCGGATGGACATGAGGGGCTGCACCACATCGTGGTGCCAACAGGTTGGGCGGTTAAGCCCTGAATCAAAGGGTGGTGCTGATCTCCCATAAGACCAACAAGCAACTTCTAAAAAGTAAATCACTGTGAAAGTTAAAATTGATTGGTGCAATTTTGGAGCTATATGCGCAATGAAATTAAATATATACACTCACTTTATTATGTGAGTGTAAACGTTCAATTTTCATTGCACACATAGCTCAAATATCGAGCCAATCAGTCATAGTTCCAAGAAGGTGAGCACTTAACAATGTAGCATCCTTGAGGTGAAGTTATGAAATCTCACCACACATATTGTGCTTCCGGTGTGAGAATTATTTGAATTGACAATATACTCCATCATAGAATTATTAATGATTAGGTTTTACCATGTTTTAAGATGTGTGGAAGTTGGCATATAGCTCATAATTTCCAATGTGTGGTATATGGGAGAACAATAGAAATTTGTGGACGAGGCCAAAGCTGATGAGAGGGAAGCTTGCAGCCTGGCACAAATCATGGGATGCGTGAGGTGGTCTCGTAATTGTTGAAGATATAATTAGGGTTGGCTTTTGCAATGAAATGTAAAATGTGAGAAATGATTTTCCCCGTTTCACATTCATTTTAATAGAATAATGCATATAATTTGAATGGAATCACTTTCTTTTACCAGAAGAGAAAATATCTATAAGAAAGTTGGAATCTTATTGTATCACCGAGTCGAGTTAAACTTAGGATATTAACTGTCTCTAAAAAGCTCATTTGACATTTTTAATAGATAAAACTTCACAAAAGTGTCACATTGTTATGCACGCTTAAATTTAGAGATATGTGATTTATTTTCTATCCAAATGGAGTATGTGGTATTACATTGTTAACAGAGGAGGACTCTGCACTAATGATTTTTTTTGTGATTTACATGTGATTTTTTTGTTGAGATTCTCTTTTATTGCATTTTGGATTCTATACTTGTAAGAATCCTCGATAGGGTAGACGTCCGCTTTCTTTCAAGGAGAAAAGGGACAACTCTCTACATAACTTATTTCAATGTCGGATCCAAAAAATGAATGGCGTGTTTGTGTGTATGCGTGCGTGCGTGCGTGCGTGGGTGTGTGTCGGGGGGGGGGGGGAGCTGGGTGTTTGTGTGTGTGTGTGGAGCGGTTCTGGTAAGAACGGATCTTAGAAGAGAAACAAGAACGAATCTGGACCGTTGGGTTGAATTATGTGGAACTGAATTGTGCATTTGGTGAAACCAAAATGTGTCTTAGATGATATTGAAATGTGCAGAATAAAAATTTCAATTCACATGTACAATAGGTGATACTGAAATGTGCAGAATAAAAGGTATAAAAATAACATCACATCCTAGCTTTTATTCTGCTCATTTTAGTTTCATCTAGTGCACATTTCAAATTCACATAATGCACAATTTAACTTCACATAATGACACTACATCGTACCCTTTGTGCTGCACATTTCAATTTTACCTAATACACATTACAGCTTCATCTAATGCACATTGAATTTCACATAAAGCAAATCTAACGGTCCAGATTCATTCTCATTTCTCTCATAAGATCATGTTCTTATTTGAACCAAAACCTGTGTGTGTATATAGAGTTTGGTTCAAATGAGAACAAGCCTTAATGTGAGATGTGAGAACAAATCTCAGCCCTCCAAAATTACTAACGATTTGCGATCAATTAAGTCCTAGTAGAGGATATTTTCGTCCTCTTCTATGTTGGCAGTTACATTGACCATATTTCCATTTTTATTTGAAGTTACGGATCAAATAAGCACCGTTCTTTTAGGAATCATCTTAATTGTTTAATTCTTGTTCTAATGTGATTTTACTTGTCCGTTTATTGAACCCAATTTTTTTATTACTTTTTATAAAATATTTTATTTGTGTTGGCTCTTGTGTATGACGTACTTTTTTTTTTTTGGCTATATATGTATTATGCATTAGATATTGATTCTTGTGCATTATGTATTACTTTAAATTATATTTTAGGAAGTCAATTTGTACTGCATATTAATTAGTTCTTAATTGTTATGGTTAATTAGATATAGGTTTTTATGCACAAAATATTTGTTATAGCTTTAATACGTATTGTGCATGAAATATTATGTCACGTGTATTACATTCAACTGCACTTCATGTACATCAATTTATGGTTATTAACTCATGCGAAAAATTAAGATTTATTTTCTGGTGCGGTACATAGACATTCTTGTGCATGCGTATTATTTGAAACTTTTGCTAAATGACGGTTCTTGTGTATTATGTACTAATTTAGTTTTTGACTATATACGTATTATGCATTAGATATTGATTCTTGTGTATTATGTAATACTTAAAATTATATTTTACGAAGTCGTTTTGCATTGGATACTAATTAGTTCTTAATTGTTATGGCCAGATATTGTTTTTTTGTGCATAAATTATTTGTTATAATCGTTAATACGTATTGTGCATTACTGCATTAGATACTGGTCCTTGTGCATTGTACATCGGATTTCATATGTTTTTTTTACCACAATCGTATGTGCTACGTATGAAGTGTGATTTTGGTGAGTTTTGTTAATTGTCCCTAAACAACATCCGTATTTTGACGAAGTGGGTATCAATAATTAATGCTCATTTTTACAATTACAACCATGCCCTTTAGTTACCACTGTATGCTAGAATTAAATAGAGACGAAAATCATCCCCTACACTTATACTCACCAAAATCAGGTGTACTAGATCTAATTCATCCGTTTATTTATTAAGGTGAGTGATCATGATTTGTTCTCATTTCTCACAATCTCATTTCTCACGATCTCATTATATATATATATGTATTATGTATATATATATACATATATTTGCAGAGTGTGCCATGCTGCTAGTCTGCTTGATCGTGATGATCTGCTGCAGATTCACGTTCACGTATAACCAAGTATGGGTCCCTCCTTATGACCAGAGTGAGCAATTTGCAGGTGGTGTGTATGTTTTACCAGAGCCATGACAGTGATACTCTTGCATTATGGTCTGAAAGGTAATAAGGGATAAATGATATTGGAAGTTTGGAACCAAATATGCATGTCTACTGTAAAATTCGTCCATCATGTCCGATGTCAGGAAGACTTCCCAATCATGCTGACTGTAATATCAAGCTTTGATCTAAAACCAGTGAATTTCTTCAAGAACAATCCAGTTCTCGACTTCCCTGCAAATCCGGAGGACTTGCCGGTATGCAAGGCTGCTGCTTGTCAGACTTGTTCCCTTAACAAGCTTATCTGGTGCTGCTTGGTGACGAAAAAGTCATGACATGCTGCTGCTTGATGAAGATCTATTGGCCTCAGGTAGTAGCATAATTGGCTTCAAATTGACCTCTCATCTGCTGTGCATGTATACATGTGCTCTAGGTTCTTTTCACTAATTATAAATAGGGATAAATGGATATATAGCCTTTTAAATTACCATACATAAAGTTAATAGCAACCATTTATATTTTATAAAACATATAGCACTTTTGTATTGAGGTTTGCATATGGCCGGCTCCTAAATAGTAGATACGGTGCATAATGCTTAAATAAAATACATAAGGAGTATATTCTAGTAGTCAAGAAAATTCTATTCATTTTATTTAAACTTGTATGTATACTCAATTATCTCTTATAAATAAAGCTTGAGAATATATTGAAATCCCTGTTTCATACGTACCCTATAAATAGTTAATACTGTGGGTTGAGCTGAGCAGATTAAGTGAATTGTTAAATGCAAACATATCTAGTAACTGGTAATATGTACTCCGTATGTCACAATATAAACTTTTCCATAGAAAAACAGAGTTCATAACTAGGATACTGTTTCACATAAAGACCAAGCAAAGTGACAAGATCAATCAAGTTTCACAGGTATGAGGATTCAATTTATTTCCGGTCATAGAAAATCCCAACTTTGATGACCCCTTATAATCTGCTGAACTCATCATCATCAGTTACCTAGCTCTTCGGGCACACTCTGCAAATTTCTGAACAGCAATGGCACATTTGAGAGGGTTCTCCTGATTTTCCCTGTAGCATTTTGTGCAAGCATCTCTTTCCTCCAAGCATGGGATTGGCTTGTTGTCGGGAAGTTTAAATTCCTTCTCATGGAGATCCTTCGCCCTTTGTGTTACTTCCTCTAACATGTTCTCCTCCTTCTTCTGCAACCTCTCCACCAGCTTTTCACTCTCTTGGACTGCACACCTGATAGCATCTAACTCTGCAATCAACGGCTGGTCAAGTGGAGGAAGTGGTAAGTACAATGGTGGCGGTGCAAGTGGCCATTTATTCGACTCTTCAGATACAGGCTTTTGATGTGCCTTTGACCAGGAAGTCTGTGAATCGTTTGATATCTTTGGTTTTGGCTGCTTTGATCTTTTCTTGAGCTTCTCATTATCATCAGAAAGTTTTTTAACCAAATCATTACTGATCTGAATAGTAAATGATTCGCTCATGATGCACGCAGCCAAGCAGCCCTGAGGAATCACCTGAAATATCAATTCATCCTCAAGAGGGTCAAATTGAAAGTATCGAAATAATAATAATAATAATTATTATTATTATTATTATTATTATTATTATTATTATTATTATAATTATAATAATAATAATAATTATAATAATAATAATAAAGTTTAATAGTGACTACAATCACTACATATAGATTTTTGAGGTTTTCACTAATGGATCCTTACAAATCCAAGTAAGATTAACATGAAAGTTTGAAACAGGGTATGATATATAGTAGTTAATGCATGTAGTCTACCACATCCTAATTCTTTTTGGTTAATGATCACCCCCAGAGCCTCATTTTCTTTGATAAGACATTCTGTTAGCCTTTTGTTTATTTGGGGTGACATTGAGATCAAGGAAAGAGTGAAGAAATGAAGTAACGAGATAAAGTGGAAAGAGATAACAATAAAGTCCCCCCCCCCCCCCTACCTTTTGCACTTTTCTCTCTTGTACTAGATAAAAACAATGGAAAGCAATTTTCATTTTATTAATTTATTCTATTTTGATTTCATTAATGGCCTTTTTTTTTTTATCTGATATCACTTTTATGTAAGGGTATTCTGGTCTGTCCCAGATAATCAAAGTAGTGAGGCACACTCAAGGCGCTAGGGCACCCCAGCACCTGAGAGGCACGGGGCACAAATAAAGAGATCATCTCACACTCGCACTGTAGAATATACTACATATACTACTCTATAATTAATAAACATGATGTAGGCCTGAAGGTGACTTAATATTGAACTAAATGCATTACAAAGTCATGTTTCACGAAAAAAGTCATGTTTCACGAAAAAAGTCATGATTCATCAAAACAATGTCATGTTCAAACAACAACACCGCATTCAGAGTTCACAAGTTTGAGCTGAAAATTGGGTTTAATGGTCCAATTTTTTTAGTCATTAGCATTAAATGTTAGTTTAAACCATTGGATCATTCCAAACAATATATGCTAAAAAGTCTAATTCCACTTTTTATGATGAAATAGTCCTAACCGTTAGATAAGTATTAGATGTAAAAATTTGTATTTATAGGGTTCATCATACAACAAATTTAAGATACAACGGTCGAAACTAAATATAATATTAATGAGGGAGAAATATCGGATCATTAACTTTATTTTCGGTCTAAAATGAATACGGAATGACGGAAATTCCGGTCAGTCTGGAGTGATGAGAACAGCACTCTCTCTATATGTATATATATAAACTTGTAAACTAGAAAGCGCACAAAAGCGAAGAGATGGGGCTATATTTAAATGCAAAAGAGGTAAGCGAAGCTTTGCTTTCTCACAAAACCAGTGTTTTTAAAAAAATTATAAAATTAAAATATATAATGCATAATTAAGCCAAAAACACATAACTAGTCATGCTTCCATGCAGGATCCTCACTTTTGGATTGTGTTCCCGACATATTTCATCTACAAATAGATGTTTCACAAACTTATAATCTAACAAGTGTACAATCATTTTAAATTGATTGTAGCTAGTAGCCCAGACTAATGCATATACTATATTTCCAGTTAGTTTAACAGTATTCAAAAAATTAGAGTAATAACAGAATACTTTCGAGTAATAATATATACTACGTACTTTTTAGTAATAACACGATTAGAGAAAAATTGTAGCTAGTAGCCTAGAAATAAGAGTAATTTCTAGTAACAATGAAATTAGAGTTATATTGGGTGAAAATAGACAAAAGCAGAGCATTCCAGGTTATAACAGACTGCTCGGAACTTTACATTTCAAAAATAAGTTTAAACAAAAAAGAAATGTAAAAAAGTTTACATACAATTCGAAAGCCAGCAAAATTGTAAATAATAAGTTAACATAAGTTTAAGCAAGCCATCATGGACTGAATTATTTTTCTGAGAAGTCATGGACTAAACCATAGGGTATTACCGATTATGTTTATACAAACAAAAATGGAAAAAAACTAGACTAATATTGATTGTTGGGTCAAAATAGACAAACTCAGTTTGATATAAATTGGCTTAGCCTGGAACTTTTCATTCGAAGAAGTTTGAAGCACGGTATGTAATTGCGCGATGCAATACCCCCTTGAGGCACACCTCACCAATTTCCGGGAGTAGGGCATAAGATTGCATTTCATACTACAGAAGGAGATACAGCGTAAGAGCTATTGCGCAGAGGCGTACGCAATTCAACTTTCACATTTCACATTACGGATTTCAATTCAACTTGAGCAAATAATTATATTTAATGCATCGATAATTATAATGGATCATATATATGGATTACAATATATAATATATATGTTATTCAATCATAAGTACTCTTTTAACTTGTGAATGTTGAACAATGTGTTAGTGAAATGACAAATAAATCATTCAACAGGAAATTAAATATGCATATCTATTACAGTATAATTTATGGTTCACATAAATTACAGTGTGTTTGTGAGCATTTCATAAAACTTGGCTTATTTGTTAGAAAAAATACAAACAACCAGTAAGCCAACCAGTTACTCTTAAATTACCATTCATTAACAAAATTAGACATTAATAATTATATGTCATGTTACTATGAGTTAGAAATCCTAAGCAATTGGAAATCCCAGTTCATGTGATGTATCCTAAAACTTGGAAATTCCAGAAAGCCCAAGTGTACTCAAATTTGAGTTTTGTCATGAATATAGGTTTCAATATAGATATATAATACCAAAATACAAAACAAAGGGATTAATATTCATTGACACAAATCACAATCATATTATAAGTTTTCAACATTAAGTTCAATGAGTTTTCAATCATAATATAATGAGTTTCAAACAACATTTTGAGTCATATTATAATGAGTTTTCAATCATAATACTAAACAATAGAATGAATATGAGGGTTTTATCATAAAATTTCAGTAATTAAATCTGGAATTAGCCGTCAAAAAAATCGACACAGTCTGAAATTAAAATTTGAGTCTAGGATTAATTTACCTAGATGAATAGTGACCGAAATCGGAGGATTTATACGACGTGTAGGTGCGGCAGAGCAGCACACGGGCAGCCGGAGGCGGCTGCTGATCTGCAATCACGCTGGGCGTATGGCGGGATGACGGGTTGGGGTTGCCGGTTGGCCGTATGCGGTCAGCGACGGCGTCTTCCGGATGGCTGGACGGCTGGTCGTGGTGTAATGACGTGCATACTTGCAGTCTCCTGGGATGCTAATGCTCCGTAAATTATTATTTTTCATTTGGGCCTGATGGCCGCTTTATGTTAGCGGGTTTTTTCAAATATGGACCTCTTTATTATACTACGTAATACGGAACAACAAAAATATGGGCCTCTTTTGAATATATCTTTCAAAACGAACACATTAGAGCATCTTTAATGCTCTTAGTCTATTGTAGGTGAAGTGGTAAAAAATTGATCTAGTTCTATTTAGAAAGGTGTGTCTAGTATTGACAAACAAGATGGTCCATTATAGCACACTTCCAATGCAAAAGAATTACATCAAAATATCAAATACAAAACAAAAGTAAATTTGTGGCTTTCAATCAATATACGGCTCACATTTTTGTGTCACGAGGTTACACCGAAGGTCAGTGTTGGATTGGATTTTGATTGATTAAATGCCACATCAGCTCAATCATGTCTATTTTTTTGTTTGCATGTGGTGAGGTAGAACCACAATTCACCTCAACATTGGAGATGCCCTTAAAACTATATATATTCTAAAGTAAATCGGATTTGCTATTATATTCTATAAACACAAATATGAATTGGAAAATTTATACGATAGTGTATCTAATACAAAGTGAATCTGGCTATGTCGAAACTAATCATATGCTCTCAAGAATCCATCTGATTTCTTAAGAGATGTAAAATCGAGTTGTATATATGAATGAATTATGAATCTCGTGCAACACATGGGTAAGGAACTAGTGTTGTTTACATTAATAATGTGCATATTAGTAATATAAAAGTCTTGGTGATCTTCTATAGTTCGCTTTGGCTTTGCTAGTTACACATCCTAGTGATTTCACGGTAGTACTATTTATCTCTTTTAAGGCTTTCAATCGTGCCATCCCCCAAAATGCAAAGGCCTTTCACAATATAGGGCACGTTTGGCAATCCATAAATTTTTTTGAAAAAGTCTAGTCTAAACGCACGTTCCTAGTTGCAGTGTTTTTTTCATTTTTGGAGGATTCACATAATGCTAGGCCGAAGTGCCGAACCTCTATTTACCAAACTTACAAAAACAACGTTTTTAGTTTAATAATTGCCACAGACAAGTGACATGTAGTATATAAATTTAAATAAACTAAAAAGTTTTTTTTTTGAAGGAAATAGCTTAATATTAGAAACAACCGAAACGGAACAACAATCATACCCCATGACCTAAATCCCCTTCTATCCAACCAATACCGAAAGTCTATCGCCCCCCTCAAGTCATGATCAGACATAAAATAGTTCACCCGTATATAAGTTAAAAACTTAGAAAATGAATTATATTAACGATTGATCAAAGTTACATACTATAAAAAAAAGTTACATGCATATCCAGATTAATCTTTGTAATGTTATCTCCGGTAGAGGGCCATACTGATCACTAAAAGTCTAAAGTCTTTTACGCCGTATGTAATACTCCATTATGTAAATCTTTTGTGAAAAAAGTTCATAGAATTGGATTCTTTTATCTATTTATCCGACATACCCAGTATTCCCTTGTAGCTACGCTGCTGACTTTAATCATTCAGTAACATACTCGAATGATTATGTTATTATTATTATCGCATGATAGAAGTCGTAAGCAACTGAAGTTTTGCACTTTATTTTCAATGCTAAATACAGAATATTTTTGAGATGGGAAAAAAATGTATTGCCGTTGTTTGTATCAAATTAGGGAGTACAAATTATGCATATTATCAGGAACTCTCACATGCATAGTCGCGGGATAAAAAACAAACGATTCCCTCGTACATTTACCCGTACGCCGGCCTTCTCCCGGAGTCGCTGTTTTAGACTCCGGAGAAGAATTTCACTAGCGACGCATGTTCTTTGTTGGTCTCATGTCTTGTGATTTTTTAAGTTTGATTTTGAACTTGCTAAAGGAAATGATGATAAATATTTTACTAAAAAGGGAACACAAAAATATGATATTTATAATTTATACTCCGTACTTTAGTATCTATAATCATAATTTTAGGGGTCTTTATTATATTCAATTTTGTTATTACATTCAATTTATACTCCGTACTTTTGTAATTTTGGATTGTAATATGTCCAGATCAAACTAGACTAGACCAGAACAGACCAGATCAGACTTAGATAGTTATAAAAATAGAAAAAAAATCATACCAGACTAGTTCAGATCAGACCAAACCAGACCAGACCAGCAAATTACAATCCAAGTAAAAACATCATTAGGGGCCTAGTCAGTATGTTGAAGTGGGCTATAAAATACATGATCTATTTGGTGAGTGCAAAAGTGGAGGTAACATATTCGTGTGAATGATTGATCTTTTTGTCCTTAGAGAAAAATCAAGAAATAAGACAAAAAACGTTTGAAAATTCAAAAATAGGTTGTCGTATATTTATTTTGAAAATATGAATCATTACTGTCAAGCTTTGAAAATATTGTCATCTTTGAAGTTTAGTACTGTCAATACATGACAGTAAGTACTCCAGTTTAATTATGGCAACTTTCCTTTCTCTGCTCTTCTCTCTCTCTCTTTCATCTTTCATCTTATTTATGTTTCTACGTTTTTATGCTAATTTTATCTTTTATCTTTCTTGTGTTTTTTTAATCTTTTATATGGGATATATTTTATCTTTCTTATATTCTTATGTTATCTTTATCTTATACTATCATATTTATTTTATCCATTTCATCTTATCTTATCCTTTGATTTTTATTTTCTTTTTTCTCTTTTTGACTTTGACATCAAGGTTCGATTCAACGACCTCATTTTTTTAGAATAAGCTAAGACTCGGAAATTATTGTTGTCACAGTAATCTAATTAAATTTGATTACTGTGGCATTAAATCATATGTTATGTGTTAAAACTAATTAAAGTACTACGTAGTAGGCTAGTATTTCGTATATAATTACCCTTTCATAATAAAAAAATTTAAATAAAGACTTTAATACGAGTATTTGGTTTGTATTTAAACATTTACATTGTTTAAAAATACTGAACGATCCTTACTTTATTCACTTTTTTCATTTTCATTTTCACATATTTTCATATGTCACTCTTTTTTTTACAATTTTATATATTAGTACGTTCGTCCAAAAAAAAAACTCTTTACTTACCTTTTCAAGATGTTCCAAAGAATTATTCTTCTTCATTTTATGAAATGATTTGTGTGTCTAATATTCATCAATTTTTTCTAACTCAACCATAATTATAGATTTACACTTTATTAATTAGCATCCAAGTAAAACTGACAAGATTTTTTCAAGGGGAGAGTATATACTATTTTTAGTCTCTTACTCCGTATTTTTTACCTTTAAAGGTTATGCACAAATCTAATTAATGTCCTAAACAAACAATCAAATGAGACTAATGAGCTAGTTATCATAAGCTCATCTCTCAATCATATCACCACACACGTCCATTCTTATTACAAAGATTTTCGATATTCGATCAATTCAGAGTAATTAATTGAATTGAACATCCTCTTGTGTTGGAACATTGGATTGGTTCACTTTTGCCTTTGTACAAAAAAACATTTTTGATTGCTTCTTCTTAATTACTCTGTAGTCTGGACTTCAAGTTATAACATATCCACAATATTCAATTAATAAGGTGCATACCGAAATTCAAAAATAGATAAAAGTTTCGTGTTGAAATAGCTAGTTTGGTAAATCATGACATGATACAGATGATTTTAGAAGACCTGTTTTTTTATAGTTTATATTTTCAGTACTGTAATAGTGCAATTGTGATATACCCAGATTTTGATTTTCCATATTGGTACTTTAACTTTATAATAATATCGGTACGTGACAGGGGCGGAGCCAGGACACTGGACTGGACTGGCCGGTACAAAGAATATTTTTGAAAAAAAATTTACACAGAATTTTTTACACTAAAAATTTAGACATTTTTATAATTTTGGCTGGGCCAGGGGTGGCCACCCTCTAGCTACGCCCCTGATCGCCGTGATCGGTGAACTTTTCTTCTTCAACTATATTTTTGGTTTAATTAATTGAAATTGTCATTTTTCATTTGGATGATATTTTTCTGAGAATAGTACATTATTTTTATTGAAAAAATAGCTAAATTGGGTTAACCTTTTATTTTACTCTTTTAGATAATATTCTGTAATACTATTTGAAAGTTGAAGCATTTCACTTTAGTTGTGATGACTTTGCGCGCTTGGTAGACCTTTTATTGGACTTTCGGATATATGACTTCGTACGTACGTCACTACGTTGTATAGCCTAGCTATTTTCATGAGTCATTAACTTGTTACTAGGACGGAGTAACTCATATGAAATGGGAGTAAAAGTGAAAAGAAATTATTTTAAATGATACTCTGAAATTAAAAAATTAATACTCCCAATGTTCCATTTTGAAATACCCCACCCGACCGGGTAATGTAATTTCCTGAGCAGTTTCGCATTTCAATGTCTCACTCGACCGGGTGCAATACCTCACCCGACCAGGTGATTGTCCTGGGCAGCCAATAATCATTTTTTTTCACTTCAAAGTCTTCCTTTCCAACACCATAAATCCTAACTCTACTTTACAACTTACAAATGAGAACTAAAATACAATTACAACTAAAATCACACAAATGTTTACAAACTAAATAAAATGGTAAACAATCCACACAAATCAAACATAAAAAGATACACTTATACACTACTAATTAGTGCATATCAACAATCATAGCGATGGTCCGGCCTCCTCCTTAACCACCTCCAGGGGTTGAACGAGGTGATAGAGTTCAAGATATTTATTTTGCTTATTTAGTTTTTTCCATGTTTCGTCTCCCTCCTATTAGTGTTTATTATTTTGTTATTTGGTTTCTTGTTACCGTCTATGTTGTTAAGTTTGTCAGTTTGTTTGGGAATGTAGCCTTTTTTTATGTCATTGGGTATGTTTGGATCTATGGGAATATGGATGGCTCTGTCAAGCCCGCTGCATGGTTAGAGATTCGTGTTGCTCTTTCAGTGTTGACCGTCTATGAGTCTGATCATAGGGTTTACAGTCGTAGTTGTTGGAGTTTAGTTGGTGTCAGATCTGTTTTTCCTTTGA